TTGCTTGCTTCTTCTAATCCACTGGAGAACTTTATTTATTTTTCTCACAAAAATAGTTCTCATCGTTTTACATATTGATAAAGACAGCCGAAGCTCTCCATAGTTTTAAGCAGTACTCAACTTTGCTTGCTTCTTCTAATCCACTGGAGAACTTTATTTATTTTTCTCACAAAAATAGTTCTCATCGTTTATAAAGACAGCCGAAGCTCTCCGTAGTTTTAAGCAGTACTCAACTTTGCTTGCTTCTAAGCTTAAAGGCGCCGCCCACAATCACGCCTGTAAGGAAGACATGGTGTTGATGTTGGTGGTTGGCTAGGTACGCAGTATCGCTCACCCCTACCGCAATTGAATGGAACTTTGCCGGGGTCAAGACCTGGGCTGTTTATAGCTGAAAGATTTGCACACACGTATACATAAGTTAGCTTGTTAAGATAACAGCGAACTGAATCATGGCAATTATTAAACTAGTATCAAAATACATGGTGAAAGGTTTTTAATTAACAGAATTAAGGGATTTTTCTACAAAGCCTTTGGAAAATCCCAAGCAATATTAGGTCTTACAGTAGCTTTCTTCTTACCTTTTAAATGGAGTTACCACCTTTGAAAATCATTTTTTTATAAGATAACCCACGACAGATTAATTAAATAACATATAACATGAAATGATTATCTCTAGTTAATTAATGCTGGAAGTAAAAGTAAAGGTTGACTCATCAGTTATATAACAAAAAGTTGAGTGCATGAAAAAAGCCGGCGTACACAAAGATTACACACACAAAATGAATTGCTTTTCTGAAGTTAATGTTGGAAATAAAATCTCACCTCGCTCGGCCAATTCTCGAGCACTGCAAGTGGATAGGGGAGAGAAGACGACGGTAGCTAAGAGAAAGCAGGCGATGAGAAAATCCTTCATCTTGGAAATATATGTGCCTAACATGCTTATGCTCTCCTCCTACCTACCGCTCTTACTTATAGCCACCATGATTTTTAGCATCATTCGAAGGGAACCATTCTTGAAGGGAACTATTCCTCCCGTGCCCAGGATCATTAACGAACGTATCAAATACTTCGCATTATTGAATAAGCCAACTTTGAAAAGTAAGAGTGGATTCTATCCACGTATGCTGGAAGCATGGAAGAAGATATTTAAATAGATTAAGTTGTTAGTTTAAATTTCAGGATAATTTATATCATTTTATAATATATTTTTTTAAATAAAAATTTTTTGGGTTTTAAATTTATATAGGTTTATATTATATTGTACTTGATTTTTATTAAATAAATAAAAATGATAAAATTCAAACTCATAATTATTTAACTATCAAAATTTTAATACATATTAAAAAACTATCTTATCTTAATTCAATAACAAATTTGATGTATATTATTATTTAACAAAGAATTAATAGAGCTGAAGACTAGCTGTTGACTCACGGTGACAGGCTCCACCTCAAGAGGTGTCCAAGCAAAACATGGTTGATAAGTAATCATTTAGATGATGGTAAAGTGGTAAAGACTTGGGACTAAGGGGTTTGCTCCCTCTGTGGTCTCAGGTTCGAGTCCTTGGTTACTTATATGATGGCTACTGGAGGCTTACATGGTCGTTAACTTCAGGGCCCGTGGGATTAGTCGTGGTGCGCGCAAGCTGGCTCGGACACCCACATTAATTTAAAAAAAAATAAAAAAAAACATGGTTGATAAGTACAAAATTAAGGTATCTTTTTTTAAGGTAATGTGACTGAAATTTAATCGTGGACCTTAAGCTTGAAAATGCGTGGAAGACGATATCCTGAATTAATATAAGAGGCCGAAGACTAGCTGGTTGACTAACGGTGACAGGTTCCACCTTCAGAGGTGATCTCTAAGCAAAACATAGCGTGTTAGGTTAATTTATAATGAGTGCATGCATGTAATATACCATAGTAAATGTAATATACCATAGTAAATGGATGCCGGGTTATTGTAAAAAGCATGATTACTGCAGTTATGAGCTTTAATTCCTTTGCTATTTCACCTCCCCAATTAATTAGTAACAGCGTTTTACGCAAAGGCACACATGATTATCAAAACTTACCACCACATATTGAATCTACCACAAAAAAAAATAGAGTTAATTATAACTTCGAAAAGTATGAATGCAATTGTATCTACATGAGCAAAACTTGAAAAATTGTGTAAAACTTTGAAAAGTATAAAACTTAAAAAACATGTAAATTAAAATATTTAATTTTAAAACACGAGATATTTATTCGACAGTGTTTGCTAAATTTTTTTATTAAAATAATTTTTTTATTCAAGAAAATAATAATAAAAATAAAGATACAAATTAAATTGATAGAATAAACTAATAATAAAATAAAATAAAATAAAAGATTCCACATATTAAAAATGATATCTAAAAATATTTATTTTTTATTTTAAAAAATAAAGTTTATCCATACAAAAAAATATATTTAGATGAATTAGAAAAACTTTTCAAATTTAAATGCATAACCAAAAAATTAATTGTAATTTAAAAGAGGTTCTTTAAATAAAATAAAAGAAGGAAGGGATACTAATTTAAATATAAATTAAAAAATTTAAGAGAAAAAACCATAAAAAACTACTAATTTAAAACAAAAATAGAAAAAATAATAATTTTCTAAAGAAAAGGCAAAAGTCAAGCATTATGGAGTTACATGTGTGACTTGTATTGTTATGGCCCACATGCAAGCCTGTCCTTGTAGACCCGTGTGTTGAGAATTTTTTTTTTAATTAGATCAGACAACATGTTGTTTATCCAAATTTGTTTTGAAAAAAAATATTACACAATGAGTTGTGTGAAAAAAATAATTTGAATTGGGTTGGCATTGTTTTACCTAAAAAAATAATAGAAAAACTTTTAACAGTTGAAACATAAATATAATGAAACAACTAAAAAAAAAAAAAAAGAAGAGAAGAGGCTAATATGAGAGAGATGTTGTTCACGGTAACGGTGTTATAGTAGCAGGCGGTGATTCCTCTTTTTTTTTTTTTAGTTTTTATGTTGTTTTTTTTTTAAATTAAATTTTAAAAAAATACAATTCACATCACATTTTCAAATATAGCCTAGAGAGCAACGGACGTTGACATCAAAATTGCTTGGGTCAATAGTATTTCGACTTCCTTTTATCAAGTGGTGAATAGATTGAAGAGTTAAATTTAGTGCGAAGGAAAATCACCAATAAGCACATATACACACACATGAGTGAATAGTTAAGTTTATTAGTCTATTTCTTCAATTATTTTCTAAGGCCTAAAATAGAGAACATAGCCCTTATATCTCAACAAATTTTCCAATAGGATGACTAAAATGCTCTTCAAGATTAAGTTTACCTCCCTAATCTAACAAAAGATAAATCAATGATTAATTATCACTCCCGTAATTAATTTTAATGCCTGAATAATATATAAGCATCCAGTTCCAACTTTATTTAATTGATTGTACCAGAAAAACACCACAATAAGAAATTAGACTAATTAACCACTTCATATGGCATAAACTTTCTTTAATATTACAGAAATTAAAACCTCAAAATGCGTCCTTCCATCCGCAGATCGATCATGGGAACTTTATTTATTTTAAATTTCCCACATAAATATATAGTCCTCATTTACAAATAACATTTTACATATATAATGATAAAGACACTAGTAGCCATCCATACTCTTCTAATCCAGGGTGTTTCATTTTCAAAGGCGCTCAAAAGCACGCTTAAAAGGTTTTCTGCAAGCTTTAGGGTTGAATTACCGCTTACTGAATACTTTGCATTCTTGAAGATAATAATATGCTTTAAGAATACATGGCTGTTGACATGTTATGAGAACTTCATAGTTTATTTTTCTTACACAAAGTGTTCTCATGTCAGATTACCACGTTAATAAAGATACTACTAGCTGTCGGTCGAGACTTTTAAGCACATAACTTTACTTCCATTCTCAAGGGATTTTACAATATCGCTTGTAAGGATTTCAAGGCCGTACGGGGATTCGCCTTGGGATGCAATTTGGATCATTAGGATTACGGCAGTGGTATGGTATCTTGGAAGGGTCACTTGTCACATATGAACCTGCAAGATTTACTGTTTAACGTGTTATGAGAATTATCACAAACTCAGTAAATACTAATTAAGTTATATATATACACAAAAAAATGGAGTAAAAAAATAAGAAAATGGAACCCGATGAACAAAAATCAAAGGAAGTAAAAGAGAGCAGCATGAACATGGCTGGGTAATCTTGAAGCAAGGTTTTTGTATACAATTAAGTTAAGATCGTAAGATATCTATTTAAATATATAAAGTTTTGGCAACAAATATATGCTTGCATTCAAAAGCAGGCAGGGATGCAGTATTATACATAAACAAAGTACAGATACGAACCACTTATCTTTACATATATATTTACAAAAACATGAACTGCGAACATGCTTATCTCTTAAATCAGAAGATCAGGGGAATCGATCGCAGATAGAAATGGTGGGTTCACCTTTATGGGCCATATATTCTTGAGTGGTGGAAGTGGAGAAGGGAGTGAAGACAACGGTAGGTAAAAGAATGCCTATGATAAGACTCGCGGTGTCTTACATGCCTACTAGGTTTGCAGGGTATTCAGTGGGCCGTGGGGATTAGTCATGGTGCGCGCAAGCTGGCCCGAATAACCCACGTAAATAAAATAAAATAAAAAAACATTGCATGTGAACTAATAATGGAGGTTCGCATACGCACAAGAGAAAACAAATAATGAACGTGTCCAATACTTTGCATTATTGAATCAGCCAGCTATGAACAATATGAGTGCAATTCCATCCACATGTATATGGACGAAAATAATTAATAAAAACTAAAGGAGAAGGAAACGGTAATCTGATTTTTTTGTTTTAATTTTAACTTTTAATGTTAGATTTATTGAAAATATGGTTCATAATTTATTTTAATTTTTTTACATAGAAAATCATTAACCACTAATTTAGTAACATACTCCATTTTGTTAGATTAATTTCTAATTATGAAGAGAAACATATATATCATGTAAGGTAAAGATGGGTCATGGTAATTTTTGTTTATCTCATTGTTGTGAGCTATATTTAAATGAATCATGAAATTTGTATAAGTTTTATTATTTTTGTAGATGTGTATTTGATATGGTTATGGTTGATCATGAATTATCTAATTATTGTTGTTAGTAATCATTGATGGAATTGCTAATGCAATTATTCCATCAATGATTTTGTTGGTATTTTCATTTAAAATTTATAGAATAGCACAACATCATACAAGTAAAAATATATAAAAAGACTAGATAATGATGAAATTGCCAATATAATATAAAGTTGGCGAGATACTTTTAAAAATGATATTTCATCATCTATTTTATTAGCATTTTAAAATGATGACAAAATTGTCAATATATGTTAATAAATTTTTAAATTTTCTAGTAATGAATACAATATTGGAGATATTACGAGAAATCAAATAATGCTAAAAGTGATTTTCTTGGTAAGTGTATTCTTGCAAAGTGATTTTCTTGGTAAGTGTATTCTTGCAAAGTGATTTTCTTGGTAAGTGTATTCTTGCAAAGTGATTTTCTTGGTAAGTGTATTCTTGCAAAGTGATTTTCTTGGTAAGTGTATTCTTGCAAAGTGATTTTCTTGGTAAGTGTATTCTTGCAAAGTGATTTATTTTACAATATTTAATAGCGTTATGAAAAATAATTTTAAAAAATATTTTTCAGTGTTTGTCTATATCATGAATAATAAGCTGAAAAATTAGTTATTTATGTTTTATTTTTTAAATTTTATTAAAATCATAAAAAATCTTACAAATTAAAATTTTAAATGAGAATGAAATTGAAAAAAAAAATATAATTTCATAAATTATCTCAGATAAAATAAATAACAATAAAAATAATAGAGATTAAATAATACGGATAAAAAAGTTGAAAGATGATGAACTAAAAAATAATAATTAAAATTTTATGAACTATTTCAAATAAAATAAATAACAATTAAAAGAATGAGGACAAAATTTAACAGATAAAAAATTCAATTAAAAAAATAAAAGAGAAAAATAAATAATAATCATAAAAATAAGGACTAAAGTCGATACAAAAATTAAATTAAATCAAATTCTAAGGATAAGATTGAAAAAAAAATATTCAAAATAAAATATATAACAATAAAAAATTCAAATATTAAATGTAATATAATCAGTAAATAATATGATATTTTTAATTTTTTTCACAATTTTTAAAAAGTGTTTTATTCATAATAAAATGAAAATATTTTTCTAATAATCAAACTAAATTTTTCTTTAACTAAAAAATATTTTTTATTAATTAACATTTCTAAAAACAAATAAAATAATAAAATATTTTAAAAATAATTTCTAAAAAATCACTCTTCATGAACGAACAGTTTACTAAATATCTGAATTTTCCTTTTCTTCTGCTACCTCCGATTAATTCCATGGTCACTGGCCAAATTGTTATTAGACCATGGCATATATGCTTCGTGAATTGAAAGTTACTTGAAGTTGAAGCAGCAATAATAGAAAGAAGAATCCCCATAATCATCACTTTGAGACAGCAAGAATCTGGCTCTGTTTGATGATCAATAAAATTCATGTTTGTTTGATATTATGTAATATAATAAAATATTAAAGGTAACTACAATATAATAGAATAGAATGAGATGATTCATTCTATTTATTTATTTATTTATTTATTGGGATTAAAATGTTTTAGTAATGTAATTGAGGCTTCGATGAATTTTCATTTAACTCTCTATAATTTTTCAAAAAAATTCTTTGAAGTCGTTATATTTTATTTTTATTTACAAACCAATCTTTACTTGAAATTTCTTTCCTTGTATTTTTTTAATAAAATTGCAACTCAGTCCTTATGATA